CCAAGGATGCTAGAAGATCTACTTGAAAAGAAAGTCATTCAACTTCCTCAGTGCAAACATCGTGAAGAAATAGGTCGTGTGAAGGATCCTAAGTACTGCCACTATCATCGGATAGTTCGTCATCTTACTAAAAAATGCTTCATGTTAAAGGAATTGCTCGTGGACTTGGCCAGGAAGAACAAAATCCTCTTGGACCTTGACGAATCGACAAAATCCAACCATGCGACGGTTATTGTAGGACCTCCAAATGCTCCATCCTCAAAATCCAAGAAAGAGATGTCACAATCTGCAACCCTAACAGTGAAAGCAATTCCCAAAGTCATCCAGTTTGGTTCACTTGAACCTATCATTATTCAAGTTCCAAATCAAGACATGCATGGTGATTTTGAAGAAGTCTTAACTATTAGAGAAGATGAAAGTTGGACTCTCGTGACACGAAAGAAGTCACGAAGAAGCAAGTCCAAGACTCAACATTTTTCACTCAAGAAAGTAAAAGAAAAGAAGAACTCTTATCAACAGAAGGAGGTGATGGACAAAAGGAACAATGAAAAGAAGATGCAACAAGAAAGCAAATTTCCTGAAGAAAACTCACCTACCCAATCATCTTGTGAAACTTTTTCCCCATTGGGTACTTTGGAGATAACTTGGTCGAGATAGCCTACATTGAAGCAGATGTGGAACAAGTTCACGCCATTAAGGTGATGCCAGATAAGGAGGAAATTGATGTTCTAACAATCTTGAAAGAATTACCCCCATGCTTCAGTTTGCGTGAAGTGTCTCAACTCCTTCGGTCTGTACAATTTGCACTTGTTCGAGTCTTAAAAGACCTTGGAAAATATGTGTTTGTTGGTAATGAGCTAGACTATCCCAAGGTGAACTCCATCACTTCTGTTCCTTGTTGCACAACAATCACTTTCACTGATGAAAACCTTCAACTAGGTTCAAAGCCACACAATCGGCTATTGTTTGTCTCTAGCTTTATTAGTAAACAAAAAGTTAATCGCATCCTTGTTGATGGAGACTCAATGGTAAACATCATGCCAAAGTTCACCGTAAAGAAGCTTGGAATCCTAGTGGGCGAGTTAGCCCGAATTTGTTTGGTTATTCAAGGTTTTAACCAAGGGGGGCAACGTGCAATTGGTATGATTCGTTTGAACCTCACCATTGGAGAACTCACAACCAATACTGTGTTTCACGTCATCGATACAAGAACGTCTTATAATTTGTTGCTTGGGTGACCTTAGGTCCATGGAAATGGTGTAGTTGCGTTAACTCTCCATTAATGTTTTAAATTTGACCAGGGTGGAATAAAGACGGTGCTAGCAGATGACAAGCCATTTACAGAAACTAAGTCTCACTTCGCTGATGCAAAATTTTATTTGGATTCCAATGGGATACTTGAAGTTATTTTAGCTGAAATTCTTTTTGCAAGGAAAGAGAAAATGAATGAAGAAAAGCAAGTTGTGTTGGACTTCTCAAAGGAAGACGTATCAAGTGGTAAAAAAGCACTTGAGGTCGCATCACCACAAAAATAGCCTTTATCCTCAAAAGGCCATGCAATGAAAAAAGTCTTCAAGTATGTGCCGAAGTCTCAACGGAAAGAAAGGCAGTCGCCGTTTGAAGAAGTCACGACGCCCACAAAAGTTAAAGGAGACTTTGCTCACCCCGGAATAAAAGAAGATCTGCAGATACTAAAAGTAAATGCAACAATACCAATTCCATAGGTGGGATTGTCAAGGCTAATTAAACCTCCACTAAAGGGATTTGTTAGGGCTACGCAAAATTCTATCGAACGTGGCTCCTTACCTGAAAGGCGATTGGAAGGGTTTGATCCACAAGCTTACAAGCTTACAAGCTTCTAGCGAAGTCAGGTTATAACTTTGCAGGTCTCTTATCACTGGGAGAGTTAAGTCCTAAACTTACAAGTGAGAAAGTTCATGGTCTCGATGAAACTCAGAAAAAGTTAAGGCAACAAGGGTACAAAGTGAGCCCTCCAAAGACCGGAGTTGGATTTATGCCAACTGAACCCATTTGTATCTCTGCCAAGAGAAAAAAGAAGAAAGAAGACATACAACATATCATTGTGGAAGAAGTGAAGGAAGAAAAAAGTCTAAGCCTAACTTCTCGAGTCTTAGTGTTTGACCGCATTGAAGCCCCTGCACCTCGAACCTCGATTTTTAATAGGTTGAGCACTGTTGACAAAATAGATGAAGGTACAACTTCTCGACCTTCAGTTTTTAACAGATTAGGCACTACTAAGGAAGGGGATGAAAAACAAACTTTCTGGTCACAAAAGTCCGTTTTTGCTCAACTTGGCGATGTGAATACATCACCTAGAAAAGGCAAGAACAAGAGAAGCACAACAACAATTGAGTTGAATTCTACAAAAGAGGATAATGAGACTCGAAGTTTGATTCCTTCTCACATGAAATGCATGACATCACTTGAAGTTAGTGTTGAAGGTCCGCTTAAGGTCAAAAGGCAAGAACAAGAGAAACACAACAACAATTGAGTTGAATTCTACAAAAGAGGATGATGAGACTCGAAGTTTGATTCCTTCTCACATGAAACACATGACATCACTTGAAGTCAGTGTTGAAGGTCCGCTTAAGTCAAAAGGCACACTATCATACTAATTGGAGAAGTTAAGACTCAAGCGAAAAGTAAAAGAGAAGAAGAAATTGAACTTGTTGTTTCTCACCATGTAACAATTGAAAAAGAATCTTGCTCAGATTTGGAGGATGATGATCTCCAAGAAGCTTCTCTAGAACTTGAAGATGGGGGACAATCAACTGTTGACAATTTGAAAGAACTTAACTTGGGAACTCCTGATGACCCTCGACCAATCTTTGTGGGAACACTCTTAACGCCCAAGGAAGAAAAGACATTTTTTTGAACTGCTTCTCAAATATAAGGATGTCTTCGCATGGACGTACAAGAAGATGCTCGGTTTAAGTCCAAAAGTGGCGTTCCATCACCTTGGGATCAAACATGGTATGCGACCAGTAAAGCAGGCTCATCGATACATCAGACCTGAGCGTATCCTCAAAGTGGAAGAAGAAGTCAACAAGTTGATCAAAGCTAGGTTCATACGTGAAGTAAAATATCTGACATGGATATCAAGTATGATCACAGTAGTCAAGAAGAATGGACAAATTAGAATATTTGTCGACTTTCAAAATTTGAACGAAGCATGTCCCAAGGACAACTTTCCGCTTCCTATTATGGAATTAATCATAAACGCCACTACTGGACACGAGATGTTGTCCTTCATGGATGGGTGTTTAGGATACAAGTAAATACGGATGGCACCTGAGGATGAAGAGTTAACTACATTTCGTACCACAAAAGGCATCTATTGTTATAAAATGATGTCTTTCGGATCAAGAATGCCAGTGCCACCTATCAACATGCCATGCAAAAGATCTTATGCTCCATAAATTTGTTGAGTGCTATGTTGATGATTTGGTGGTCAAAACTAAGAAAAGGGAAAATCATCTAGAGGACCTTCGTGTAGTCTTCAACCGGCTAAAAAAGTATGACTTGAAGATGAATCCACTCAAATGCACATTTGGAGTCATATCTGGAAAGTTCCATGGCATTATTGTTCGACATAGAGGCATTAAGATTGATCAGTCCAAAATCGATACTATACAAAAGATGCCACCACCAAAAAACTTAAAAGAACTTAGAAGCCTCCAAGGTCACTTGGCATATATCCGCAGATTCATTTCAAACTTGGCAAGATGTTGTTAACCTTTCAGTCGACTGATGAAAAAGGAGGCTCCATTTATATGGGATCAAGCATGTCAAAATGCTTTCAACAGTATTAAGAGATACTTGCTTCATCGACCAGTATTAGAAGCTCCTATTCAGGGAAAACCATTAATACTTTACATAGCTGCTCATGAAGAGTCTCTTAGAGCGATGCTGGCCCAAAATAACAAAGAAAATAAAGAGCAAGCACTTTATTACTTGAGTCGCAGATTAACTGAAAACGAGCTCAAGTACTCACCCATTGAGAAGATGTGTTTGGCGCTTGTTTTTGTCTCTAAAAAATTGAGACATTATTTCCAAGCCCATACAGTGCATCTCATTGCAAGAGCCGATCCAATTGTAATGTCTAAGCACATCCTCTCAGGACGCTTAGTGATGTGGCACTTCCTCTTTAATGAATTTTATATAATTTACGTGCCAAGAAAAGCTGTGAAAGGGCAAGCCCTCGTAGACTTCTTGGCCGACCATTCCATCCCTACTGATTGGGAATTTCTGAGGAATTCCCTAATGAAGATGTATTGTTCATAGAGGTCCTACAACCTTGGATGATGTTCTTTGATGGGACTGCAAGGAAGGAAGGGGTAGGAGCAGGTGTCATTTTTGTTTCACCACAGAGGCACATTTTGCCTTACTCATTTATTCTTGGCAAAAATTGCTCATACAATGTTACTGAGTACTAGGCCTTGATTATTGGTTTACAAAGGGCAACAGAGCTAAAAATTGTTGACCTAGATGTCTATGGGGATTCTAAGCTAATAATTAATCAGCTTCGGAGGGATTATGAAGTCAAAAAAAGCAAATTAGTCCCATATTTCCTGTATAAAACTCATCTCATTGAAATTTTTGAGGGGGTGGTACTCGAACATGTTGGAAGGAAAGAAAATCGCATGACTGATGCACTTGCCAATCTAGCAACTACACTGGCATTGTTAGAAGGTGAACAAGTTAGTGTCCTTGTACGCCAACGATGGGTATTGCCACAATTGTTGGAATGTCGCCTTGTAGAAACAAACGCAATTTCAGTACTAGTCATCGAAGTCGACGATTGGAGAATGCCAATTATAGACTACCTTGAACACGGGAAGTACACAGATGATACTTGCCATAGAACTGAAATAAGACTTCGAGCTCCTCGATTCATCTACTACAAGGAAACTTTATTCTGACGATCATTTGAAGGAATTTTTCTTCGTTGCCTAGGGGATGACGAAGCTCAATAAGCCATGGAAGAAGCCCATTCCGGGATATGTGGAGCACATCAGTCTGGTCCTAAACTTCACTTTTGGGTAAAAATGATGGGTTACTATTGGCGTATGATGGTTAAAGATTGCTTGGACTACTCAAGAAAGTGTCAACCTTGCCAGTTTCATGCAAACTTTATCCATCAACCACCAGAACCTTTACACCCGACAATTGCTTCTTGGCCATTTATGCATGGGGTCTAGATGTAGTTGGCCCATTGACCAAGTCTTTTGCAGGCCACTTATACATTTTGGCCGCCACAGATTACTTCTCCAAGTGGGTTGAAGCCGTCCTACTTAAAGAAGTCAAGAAATAAACTGTCGTTGACTTCATCAAATCCCACATTATTTATCGGTATGTGTACCTCGTTACATTATCACCGATAACGGAGAGCCTTTCTACAACAATCTAATGGACAAACTTTGTGAAAGATTTGGATTTAAGTAACGCAATTCCTCAATGTACAATGCACCTGCCAACGGATTGGCAGAGGCATTTAACAAAACTTTGGGCAACCTATTGAAAAAAGGTAGTTGCTAAATCAAAGCGGGATTGGCATGAAAGAATTGGAGAAGCACTCTGGGCAAACCATACGACACATCGTACCCCAACACAAGCCACCCCATACTCCCTTGTGTATGGTGTTGAAGCGGTCCTTCCTTTGGAACAACAGATTCCTTCATTAAGGATAGTTATACAAGAAGGTCTCACTAATGATGAGAATGCAAAACTACGCCTTGCTGTGTTAAAAGCATTGGATGAGAAAAGATTGGAAGCACAACAAAAACTTGAGTGTTACCAAGCTCGACTCTTCAGAGCTTTCAATAAGAAGGTTAGACCCTGGTCTTTTGAAGTTGGAGAATTGGTATTGGCTATTCGAAGACCTATCATCACCACCCACCAAACCGACAACAAGTTCTTGTCCAAGTGGGATGGTCCATACGTGGTGACTGAAGTTTACACTAACGGAGCATACAAGATTGTTAATGAAGAAGGTATTAGAGTTGGTCCAATCAATGGCAAGTTTCTAAAGCACTACTATCCATGAGAATGTAACGCTTCTAATCGCATGAGCATAAACTGCATGATGTTTTTGGCCCATATGAAATAAAGTTGTTAAAAAAAAAAATTGTACTACTCTTGGCCCGCATGAGTATAAACTGTAAACGTTTAAATAAATCAATAAACCAAATGTGTTTTACAATAAGAGTATTTTGCTTCGAACTATAATATTTATTTCATAAATAAATTGTTTGCTAAAGCAATTATTTTATAATGAAGTATTTGGTTTTGAGCAACATTTCATGAAAATAATAAAAAATAATTAAAAAAATGAAATGAAATAATAATAAATAAATAAATCATGGCAACTATGATAAACTCTGGATCTCGCCTTGTTCAACCTTCAAAAGTTGCTCCAACTTGTTGGTGACTTCATTATCCTCGCTTCTTGTCACCTTAGCTACTTCTATTGTAGCTTGTTCATCCCTTAAAGTGGAAACAATGGCTCGCCTTTGAACTACTTCAGCTTCAACAACACTAAGTGTAGTCTTTAGTTGTTGTGATTGTTCATCTAAATATTCCAACGCCTTTAACAATTTTGCCTTTTTTACTGCAAGGCTACCCAAATCAGATTTCAGCAAGTGAACCTGCTCAACTGCTTAATTCTCAAGAGCTAGAGCATGACTGACACGTTGATTGACATCCGCCAAACGCTGATCCTTTAGCTTTGAAGTCATCCCTTAAGCAAACGCTAATTTCAAAGTCACATGCAGCCGTTATGTTTTGAGTTACATACCCCTTTCTACCAATTAAACGAGGTTGCTTATCTAGAGATATATATGTTTTGATGTGTGTTCCGTCAATTGCTCCAATACAATTCTATTACAAAATAGTAAATAAAAATATTTTTAGTCACAAATTATTAGAAATATCCTATCAACATTAATTATATGTAACACCCAAGTTCTACTTGTAGTTAATTATTTACCTTGAAATGAGGATAATATTTGCAGTTGCGTCGAATATATAGATGCACACCATTTCTCGGTTGAGGCCTTACCCAATCAATGGACATCATTGTAACAGTTTTTAACACCTTCTTGAAGTATTTTGAAATAGTCTCCCCGGAATGTTGAAATCTTTCTTGGACATTTCTGTTTCGAATGTCACCGCCAACAATATACAAAAATATTGCAACCTGCTCTTGAACCGAGACTTTTCGTCCAGTTTCAAGGCCATACTTTGTTTGTAACAAATCACACAATTGATAAAATCTCTCTTTCCATTCGAAAATTTTCAAATATTCTTGTCTGATTCCCTTCTTGTAATTATACCATCCACTTTTACTCTACTAAACTAAATAATTTGTTGCATATGTCATTGCAACTGTAGCCACTGTAGCTAAGAGCATATTATTATTTTATTGAGTTTGCGATGTGCTGCCTTCATCTTCAGTATCTTTATCATCTTGATCATCATTCCATTCATCTTCATCACTGTTATTCATCTCCAAAATACCTACTCATTTAAAGGCTTAGTCACTATTACAAGAATGATTCATGATATCATTAAATTATTAACCCCCATGGCATTGTGTTTTCACCACTGGCATGAGTGTTTTTTTGTATTTATAGTTTAATGATTTTTTAAACCGTAATCCCATAAACATGCCCAAAACACTACTTCAACTTGGTAGCTATTTGGAGGGTAAAGGAAGAAAATTTTGAAAGCAAAAGAAGACATGGAAGTACTAAGGAGCTGTGTTAAATAGGGTTGAGCAAGGAATCCGTAAAATCCGTAATCCGATCCAATCCAGTCCAATTCAGTAGGTTTGGATTGATTTTTTGAATCCGTGGTTCGGTTTCGGATTGAAAAATTAAAAATCCGTAATTCACGAATTGGTTCCAGATCGAACCTCATGGTTCCGGATTGGAACTGATCCGAACCGTATACAAATAGTCTATATTTTTATTATACACCTTCCTGCATAGTATCTTCTCTTATTTCATATAAAACTTAAATCCAAACATAAACTTACATAGTATCTTCTTTTATTACTTTTGTTTGCTAGTTTTTAGTATTAATTTGTAATGGTCTAAATACTTATGGTGGAACTAGTTTTCTTATGGTTGTTTAAATTCTAGAACAGTTTGTCGCTACTATGAAAAAACATGTTGCTATTGTGAAACTAATATGGTGCTATATTTATATTTTTATGAAATTAAAGTGTTATATATATATTTTTATTATTTAATTATGTAAATCTGTGATCCTAAACCGATCCAATCCGTGTTTAAATGGATTAGTTCAGATTGGTTCCACGATTTAAACGGATTAGATTGGTTCCAATTTTTCAAGATCCGTAGATAACGGATTGGTCCTGGTTTTACTCCAATCTAGTCCAATCCGGACCATGCTCACCCCTAGTGTTAAATGGATAAGGGTAGTCTATGGTACAAGAGCACAGACTCTGGAGGGGTTGCTTTGTAATTCACATGGGATGATCATTAATTGTGTTGCCCAATAATTTTTTTTCATTCGTGGGCCATCTTCCATATAGCGCAACAACAACAACATTTTTTAAGAGGGAGCCATCTTCCATACCCAATATTTTACTTTTTTTTTTTTTTTGTAACATATAAATTACAACCAACAACAACATACAAATGTAAAGGGAAAAAAAATTATACCTTCAACTTCAAACAACATAGCAATACAGTAACAAAGACGGCAGAATAGATGCAGAAAAAAATACAGCACAACACCAGATGGAAATTCAGTACAGCAACAACAACAGATGAAAATTTAGCACAAAAGATAAATACAGCACAGCAAGCAGAAAGAAATTCAACCTGTCTCACAATAACACCAGCTGGAGAACATCTATATATATATATAAAAGTCTTAACTATTCACCTATCATTCATATTCAATATTCAAATTAACCATTTAACCATTCAACTAACATTTAACCATTCAACCATTCAACTAACAAAGTCCAACATATAATCAAAGTCCAACAAAATATTAATAAAAGTCCAAATAATGAGTCCAACATAAAAGTCCAACATACTTGATATTAATAAAACAAAAAAATAATGAGTCCAACACAACAATCTATAATTAATAATAAAAGTCTTAATAAAGGTTTTAAACATGAAATAATTAGGAAATTCATAAAGAAAAAAAAAACTTCATAAACAATTAGCCGCGATAACATGTGGTGGTCTTCTCCATCTCAATCTCCAACTTCAGAAACCTCAACCGAACTTCATCCGTAGGAAGGGTCATGAAGAACTCACAGCGCTTGTCTCTTAAGAACAATCTGGTAGCCTATACATACATCTCATCATCCGGGGACACACCAGGGATGCTTTCCAACTTCACCAAACATTCTGCAATTGAAGAATATCTTGACGAGCTTTGGGTTGAAGTTGCTGAAGATGACTCAACCACATTGACTATACGATCAAGTGTTGTTAGATTTATTTATTTTGATGATTTATTTAATTATGTTTTTAATTTATTTGGATGAGAAAAATAGAATCAAAATTTATTTTGATGATTTATTTGAAAGAAAAAAATAAAATCAACATTTATTTTGATGATTTTATGTTTTAATAAAATCAAAATTTATTTTGTCCCATTATTTCTCACCTAAACCTTTATCATAAATATTGTTAGAATGTATTTAATATTTGATCAAAAACAGAGGTTCAAACAGTTCAGCACAGCAGCAGTTCAAAAGGTTTAAAAAGTTCAAGTGGAAGATATTCAAATTTGTAATGATGGAGTGGAAGATATTCAAATTAGTAATAATGGAGTACAACGACTATAAACGACTATAAATTCAAGTGAATACAAATTTTTAATGATGGAGTGGAAGATATTCAAATTAGTAATGATGGAGTACAACAACTATAAATGGCTATAAAAGGCTATAATTCAAATGAATACAAGGGCTATAAGCAGCTATAATTTTCATTATATACACCAAAACCTCTAATGTAAACAAGTTACAAAAAAATCAGAAAATATTTTTTGATCTATAATCACTCATATCTATTCTCTAAAAAATTCTCTGAGGAGTGTTCTTCAATTTTTGTTTACATCCTCTTTCAGAAATTATATACTGAGACGCATAACTTTAAGCCCATCTTTCATGTGTGAGGTTTACAGAAAAACCAAAGTTTCATTTTTATATCTATCTTTGAGAGATAATTCTTGTAGCTTTCTGTGAAAGCAAAAACACCTTCTTTTCAACCTTGTAAGAGTGTAGTACATTCAGTGATCTTGACTTAGAAAGTCTGTGTAAAATTCATGGAGGATTGCTCCATTTGTAAAGAGGTTACTAGCATCCCCGTGAAGCTAGTGCATAGTGAAAGATCTCAAGTGAAGCTTGAGGAGTGGACATAGTCTGAGTTGAAGTCGAACCACTATATATTTGTTTGCCTCTCTCTCTTATCTCTTTATTTTATTTAAATTATTGTAGCTATATTTCACATTTTCACTGTGCTAAAATTATTAGCTGACATAGTTGTTAGAACACTTGTTTTAATTATTTTTATTTCATTAACTATATTTATCTATTGCGCTAGTCATAATTTTTATTAGAGTATTATTAATTTTTAATTGTAAAAACCTAATTCACCCCCCTCTTAGGTTGTCTTTTGGGTAACAAGTGTCTTGTTAAGTAGAGCTACACCAGTAAATTTCTTCTTCGTCTTGCTCTTGGTTGATGAACCATCAATGTTTGATGGTCGTTTTCTTGTTTAACTTGGAAGGATGAACCACCTCCAAATCATCATCATCATGAAATTCAGCATCATGTAGGGTATGAAATTCGTCCGGAGTCTCATCAGTGTGAGGCATAACCCTTGAGCTAGGAGTGTATGGTTGTTCTCCTGTAGCAGCTTCATCTAAGAATAGTATGTCTAAGTCTTCAATGAATTTCAACGGCATACGCTGGAATTTAGCAGCATCAGGATACCTCTGCAACAATTACAAAGGAAAATCTAACAATTTCAAGTAGCAAAATTTGGTTTG